CTCCAGGCAGGTCTCCCTCATGCATGAGTAACATGAAGAACTTTGCCTACTTCGGGTCTTGCTTGCTGTGTAATTATATTGTCCTCAACGTTCCAGCGAATAGGTTCAAGCTACAAACCTACCACTTCCTGTTTTACTTTAAAAGTCCATGTCTCATGTCAGTGTTTCTGGTATTGCTTCCCTTGTCTTGTTAAGTCTGATTTCTCCCAGCTGTGTTACCCTCCTGTCCCCCCCAGTCTCTGAGTACTCCAGTGTGTATTTAAGCCCTGTGTTTTCCTTGCTCTGTGTCGTGTTGTAGCCTCATTTTGCCTGTCTTCCCAGTCTCTGTAGCACCTAGTTTTTTGGTTTCTTGTTTTCCAGTTCCCCGAGTCCCTGGTTTGTCAGTTCTAGTCACTATACTTTGTCTTTTGTTTTCTGTGTTTCCCACACAAAACTAAGCTGCACTTTCGGGTAATCTTCCTTCTTTTGGGTCCTGCACTTGGGTCCTATCCTGCCTGCCACACAGCACATCATGACCGTTACAGCTGTAATAGTGTCACACAGTGGAAATTTGTATTTATCTTGTATATTGATTTTATTCTGATTTTCAGTGTTTATTTATGAGTGTAATTTTTACTTGCATGATTTTATTGTTTCTATTGCATGGTTTTTAGTGTTTTATTTGACATGGTCTTAATCCACCGTAGCGTGGCAGAGCATGGGATATATTAGTTGATAGGGATCACCTGCTGAGGCATGGGTGTGTCCAGAGGTGGCCTATCAGCTGTTTAAAGACCAATTAAAAGCAGGCTAGCGGAGCACTATGAGGAGAGAGGCCCCCGAAATGAGGAGGAATGTGCAAAGGCCAGGTGAAAAGAGGGACCCGCTGCCTGATCGTGGGGGTGCGACGCCTAATCAGTGTGACGTGGCAACCCAGTCCTGACAGCAAGGAACGGCAACAGTAGGAGACAACACGTGTTTTTGGCAGCACGGCAGAGGTGTACCTCTACCTGCATTTGTGAGTAGTGTCTACACTGTCGTTCATTGGGTGCAGTCGTGTTGGGTGAGAGTCGCCATGCATATAAGTCAGGGCAGCTTCCGGGACCATTGTTCTGGCCCCTATTTATTTACAGGGCACTGACACGAGGGGAGCCGTGGTGGCATCGCATGACTGATTCGGGTGCAGAACGCGAGCTGGGATGGGATGTGATGGGCCCAGTGAAGGGACAAGAGGAGGATGAGAGGTTCCTCCTCGTCTGCCTGAGACGAGGCTGGCATGGACTCCGCTCTGGAGAAGAAATTCCTGGCCTGCTGGTGGACACATAATGAACGTGTGGCATAATTACATCAGGGGATTCTTATGAATGTAGAAAATTGTATTTTTACGGGTTTTAGAATTGTTTTTAGTCTCCATGGGGATTTTGGTATACTGACAATATTTTATTACATACATTTTTAAGAGGTGTTGTTGTTGTTGTTGTTATTATTATTATTATTTTCTGCTTCCTGGCCTGGAAATGAACTGTTTCTGATCAGACCTCCCACCATCTCTGTGCCTTGGGTTTCTGACTGGCTTGCTCCCTCCTTGTATTCAAGAACCATCCTCTTTTGTATTACATTCTGGCGCGACTGCCTCAGTATCTGCACAACAACAACAACAACAACAACAACTTTTTAATTTTTAATACGCAGTCACATTAAACACTATTAGACCGTCTCTTTGTTCGTCTCTCTTTAGTGTGTCCGCTTCCTGCAAAATTCAAACAGGATGGAAAATTTTGTTTTGTGAAGACATTTTTTTTTAACTTTCAGACAATGAACAATAACATGATCAGACATGTACTCATAGCACTAATGTGTAGCAAAGGTGTATTTTATCATCATCCTCAGTAACGAGTGTTTGTTCCTTATTGGTTTTTCCTGAAAGAAAGAGAAATCTTATTCTCTTGAACTGTTGCTTTTGAGTGCACTAATTTTTATTTGTAACTACATTTACAAATGAATGGCATATATTTTTCTCTAGTTTTAAGGTATCGGCAAGCAGTACTTGAGTAGTTAATACGAAGCATTGCGTACAAAGCAACATTTGTATTTAGCATTATTTGGAATGGATCGTAATGTGAAGCTCGGCCTGAAAACAAATGCAAGCCATCAGTTTTGAATGTTATTTGCCTGTTGAAACCTCCCATCTGAGCCTGCTAGTAGGAAGAGTAGGACACGTACTGGCCACACCATGAGTACTGATAATTAAGACTGTTTATCCACCCATATATCACCCAGAGGACTGATAAATAACATTCATTTGATTGATAATTGGGTGGATAAACATACTGACCAGCTGATTAATAGGTATAGTACATCATGGTACCACTTTGTATGCTGGATCTAAGCAGAATTAATTTCTTTCTGCACTGAACTATGCAAATTTTAAATGTGACCTCTACATTAATAAGATAGAATGATCCAGAGTATAAGACATTTCCAAAAGTAGTGATGATGACAGAATGCTGCCTGTCCTCTTATTCGCTGAAATGCTCCCAGGTTCTTATTTCTGAAAAGAAGGCGTCTCCAGGGCAGGCGGTGTAGTTCACCACCTGTCTGTGGCCATGGATGATGAAATTGGAAACCAGTCCTCCTCCGTGTAAAGCACATTGGACAAGTCGATGACGTAGCAGGTCCATGGCATAGCGAGATGGCAGGGTGGCAGTGTAGTTACCGATGATTGACACGCCATACCCAATGGCATTGTGTCCCCTGGTGTGAGTGCCGAGATGATGCCAACCCCTACCCTCATAAACGTAGCCGTCAGACCCGACCACAAAGCTGAAAGTGCAAAAATATGAGAGCAGGTGATCAATGGATGAGGTGGATGGTTCCTAGTCTGCAGACAAATAGAGCAAAATGCTGAGAATTTATTCCACCATATGTGATGAATTTTCAGCAATACAGTGTTTTAACAGCATTCCTGAAAATTCTCCCGCTAATAACATAGATATGAAATATGGCTACTTAAATGAATGTTTTGGCATTTTAGGAATTTTCTGTTGTAGTTTTTTTTTGTTTTTTTCCGAATCACCACTCCCATGTTCATTTCCTACCACTTCAAGCACCTGTAAATCTTACAATTTACAAAAATAAAAGTATAAAAACAAGAATTTGTTCAATTAGAAGAATTATTTTTGACAGAATATGACCAGAATTTGACATTTTTACAGGAAAGGCAAACTATAGGGATTAGTTTCAAAGGTCGCTAAAGAGTAGGCAGCACCTGTCTACAGCAGATCCATATTTTGAGGCAGTGACAGTTGTATACATCTGTTGTATACAACTAACAAACACTGCAACAACGTGTAAAAATACATTTCCCTAGATTTCCAATGATTCCTTTAAAGTTTTGTTACCTGTATCCGATGTCAGCCCACCCACGGTCCTCCTGGTGGAAACGCTGCATGGACCTCATGTCACGAGAACAGCTTGGGAAGGATAAGCAGGGTGATGATGGCTCATAAGTATGATGAATGTACAGATACTGGAGGGGAAGAGAGAGCGGGATAGGTGCACCTCGGTGGGGCTTTGCCCCCCACTGACAGCGAGGGATGATTTGAGGGCAGTCTGTGGGTAGGAGGAGACAAGGTGAGGATTAGGAAAGTAATAACACTCCAGACCTTGATAGGCTGCAACAGAACATATGGGCTAGTGTCTAAAAAAAGGTCTTTGTGACAGCTCGGAAATAATGACTCAGTTTGTACAGCATCAATGAGCTTATTACTTAAACAAGCTTGTTTTTCCCAGTGTAGTGCACACAACATCTTTCTTTAAGGTCGAAAATCTGTCAGTGTTTTTACCAGATGACTGCTTGTGGTTGGTGCAGTTTTTTGGAAATGGAGCTTTGACCTTTGAAACATCCGAAACGTGGGAGTGATGTTTGAAAAACTGATTACAGTTTATAGATAATGAATATAGCAGAGACCTGCCAGAACTGTTCTGACAAATGTGGGACATTTTCAAAAGTGAAATTTGCTTAGAAAGAGGATGGCATAATGTTTGCACCAGGAAGGACTGTGCAGTAAGTCCTTTAGAATAATCTCATGAAATTGTTGTCCACACACTTAATTTTATCAGAGCCAAAAGTCTGAATAATTTGCAAACTTACAGAACTTACATTTCCCACACCAGAAGCAAGGCAGCTAAGCCAAGCATGGACGAATTCCTTTGTAATAACATTTGACTGAATGTGGAAAAACTGAAACATACTTCTTTCAGTCTGTTTTGTAAATGGACTGAAATGTTGAATGTTAACATTTCCAGAATGAACTTGAGCTTCCATGACTAAAAAATTGAATGGTTTGTGTCTTTTTATTCATTTTAAAGTTGAGCCTTTAAAGTATAAAGTATCAATGGATCACAGGACCAAGATGACTGAAAACTAAAAAAATACTATAAAAGAAATACCTCTTCCTCTATGAGGCCTAACTATTTAACGGTGGATTTAATCCAGTCTCCACGGGCATAGTGATCACAACATGTGATTGCAGTTAAAAACTTCATAATGAGTTTCATAATAATGTTGGTAAAAGCCTTGCACTATTTCAGTGCTGGCTTTCACTTCAAATTGAGTTTTTTTCAACTGGCCAGCAGCCAAAATACACAAATGTTAACTGAAGTTAAAGATAGTTAAGTAAAAAATATGTTTGAATTTACAAGGTTTTTACGAGTTCATGGTGACATTACTGTTTAACCTACTGTGACGTTATCCTCTTTAGATCCTTATCAAAAACATTTGTCTCATAAACAAAAATTTAATTCTGATTATTTTTAACTGCAAAGTTTGATGAAAACATCCAGGTTCACTAGACTCTTGCACAAAAGAATGATTAAATGTCTTCATTCATAGCTCACCCCAGTACTTCTTGACAAATGTCTCCAATCCATCTTTCACCGCCTTTCCCACCCCAGTGTCCATAGAAATCCATTCTGTCTTCTCCAGTTTCCAGACCAACGCTAGTGTCTCCATCACCTGGCTGTGAAGATCAACAGACTCTAGGATGGATCTAGAGAGCTCCCTCCTCCTTGGGCTAATCTGACTGCTCACAGCATCCATGCCCTGCCCCTCACTCAGAGTAAAATTGTAGTATCCTCTCAGAATCTCACTGAGGGCCTGCGGCTGTTCAGATGCAGTTAAATTGCTGAGGTCTGTGCCCAGTATAAGGCCATCCATGCCCCCATTGATCATGGCATCGGTGGCTAAAGTGGCAGGCTGAGACAGTTTGAACACCCTGGGGTGCTCCACGTTGTCCCAGCACCCATCAGGCCCCAAACGGTGAGATGGTGGGAAGTCCTGGAGGCTGAGAAATGATAAGCCCAGTGTCCTGCCGAAGGTGAGAGGGAAGATCCCAGCTGCTGCCACCTCTTCCATCTTGGCGTTCAGTCCTGATTCAATTCCTAGTAATAAGGGTACAAGCGCCACCGTAGTTCCATCTCTTGTGAGAACCACCCCTCGTTCTTCTCCATGGTCCGTCACAATGTGGTGGATGGCCTTATCAAAAAAGCTGAAGGATGAGGTGTTGAGAATGGCCGTCTCCAGGAGGTCAGCATCGCTGAGATTATTGGAAGCGCCCAAGAAATGGATGGTCATCACGTCATCATGGCCTGCAGTCCTCCGCAAGGCCCTGACCAGAGCCAGCAGGGGCAGACCAGGGTTGGAGTGTTCAACCTGCTGCACGGCTTGAATAAAGCCTTCCATGTTACGCAGGTGGACGCCTGACAACAACACAAGCCGAGAAAAGTGCATTAATCCCTCAGTGAATGAAATGTTCAGTTACTTCAGAATGAAACAGTGGTCCTTGCTCAATATTAGTGTAAAGCCGGTTTAGCAAACCATTCATTTATCTGTCTTAACAGCTTATGCAATTTACAGGCATTAGAGTCTGTCTGAGGTGATATAGAGTTCACATCAGCTAAGTTATGAACTGGGGATTAAAGAAGGTGGAAACTGATAGCACGACAAGAGGTTGTTGCCCTATAACTAGCATGACTTCCTCACATGCTATACAGATGGGAAAGAACTATACCAACACTGAGAGAATGAGTGGAGGAGCTCAAACATACAGCTGAAGCAATGTACATTTAAGATCAGGCATTAGACACACTTCCATAGTATACTGAGTTTGTGCTACCAAATACAGTATATGTCTTTGTCTTACTCTTTTAAGACCTATATTTTGGGAACAGTTGAATAGCCTTTCTAATTGATCAGTTAATAACCCAATACTTAAAGAAAGAGGGAAAGCTTTTTTTTTTTAGTTTGAGAAAGAAAGGAAAGAGAGAAAATTCCCGATTACAGATAACAAGGAACAAGTGAGTCAAAACACATCAGGTTGCCCAAAGAGAAAATATTCCTTATCAACATGCCAAGCAGGTACACTGTGGCCTGTAATGGAAATTCTAATGCAAGATAACTGAATGTTTGCATGTTTTAAATAACTGCGCTTACCTGTCGGCCTGCTGTAGACAGTAACAAGGTCAAATAAAGTCAGAAGAAAAAATGTGAGTCCACAGAAAGCCATTCTGCATCTCCCGGTTAGTGCTTCTTAAATCGTTTTATTGTTTTATTTTTATTCTTGCAAAACAAATGAACCTAAACAGTGAAATATGAAAGAATCTCTGCAATAATCCAAAATGTGTGGGGCTCCCTCACTTGTCTAGGTGTATTTAAGTAGGTGTACGTGCATGACAGCAGTGCTCTGTCTCAAAGGGAAGAGTACTCTCTGTACACAGATGGCCCCAAATATTGATTTAACCTACAGCACATCAAAGAGCAAAATTTCTCTTCAATTTATTTCAGTTTTCATCACAAATTTATTTTATTATTATTATTATTATTATTATATTATTTATGTTTCACTTTTTTTTTTTTACTTCATGCAGTTTCCTTTGTATATGCCTGGACAAAAACAATAGAAGCGAGGGATAAAGTCAGTTTACTGTCCCCTGTAATATGTACGTCTGCTATGTGCTCACCAGTGCCGGGAAACAGCTTAGTCACATGACCAAACAAGTAGACATGGACTTGGTGAAAAAAAACAACACAAGCTGATTTGGTTTGTATTGTATGGTTATTCATACAATCATGTACATTTAGGTTTGTTAAACCAAAATCTTGAATTAACTTTCTAATTTGGATAGAACATAATGCACAGATGGAAAACTGGGTAAATATTGGAATAATGATGCAAATAATGAATAAACTGCTATTTCGTGGAACAACTGAACATTTAGGTTATTGACTACAAGTCATACACACACACACACACACACACACACACACACACACACATATATATATACACACACATATATATATATACATACACATATATATATACACATATATATATATACATACACACATACATACACACGCTTTGCAGTCAAATTAGCTAGCTACCCCGCCAAAAAGCAATAAATAAATCCCTCGCGGGACTTCGTGGACTCCGTAGCTGTGAATCGATCGGTGAGGTCATGTGACAAGTTACGTTTTTAATAAACAGGAAGTACTCAAACCTTAACAACTCAGGTGTAGGAAGTGATCGGGTGAGTGTTGATTATAGTCTTAAAGAAAGCTGAGTTGAAAGATACTAATTTTAATAACTGAATAATTTTCGTAAATGTCATCTTTGTGTTTCTCGCGTGCCTGTAGCACCTTGGTTAGCATTAGCAGTTAGCCTGTAGTTAGTTGCAGCCTCACTAACAATAATAATAATCTCGGTGTTTCCTCTTACAGCTGTCCGTTAAATCATAATGGAGGCTCGCTTCACCAGAGGCAAGTCAGCTATTCTCGAGAGGCCTTTAAGCCGGCCGAAAACCGAGGTGAGCGTGAGCGCCTTCACCCTGCTCTTCTCAGAGGTGGTGCAGTACTGCCAGAGCCGTGTGTACTCGGTGTCCGAGCTGCAGGCTCGCCTAGCGGAGCTGGGGCAGCGAGTGGGAGGCAGCCTACTGGACGTGCTGGTGCTGAGGGAGAAAAACGGCAAGAGGGAGACCAAAGTGCTAAACATACTGCTGTTCATCAAGGTATTGTGTGTGTGTGTGTGTGTGTGTGTGTGTGTGTGTGTGTGTGTGTCAGGATTTCATTCAGACCGCTCACAAAGATCTTCCTCACTAACTAATAATAACTTTGCAATGATGAATATTAAAATCAAGCATATATTAGTGTAAATACAGCTCCACATAATACTTGCTGTGAATGCAGAACATCAGCAGTAGGGATGGGTGTCATTTAGGTTTTATCCGATTCCAGTGCCAAACCGGTACTTTTGAAACGGTGCCGGTGCTTAAACTGTGCTCGAACCGGTGCTTAAAGAATCAAGAACACAAACTTTGTCCAAAAACCTCTCATGTTTAGC